AGGTAGCGCGAGTCCGAGAGTGACAGTGGCTGCGCATCTTTTGCTAATGCCAATCGAGAGTTTGCAATGACAACGGTGAGTCGTTCGCATTCTTTTTTTTTTTTTTGGGAAAGGGGAGAAGGGGGTTTATGTGTCTCGGATACATCCAGGAGGGGTGAGCTTTCCCGGCATTTATAGAATTTATCATGAGGTCACTATCTCTTTCTCTCGTCAGGTTAACACCCAAAGCGAAGGAGCACAAAGGTGGACAATTCAGTTCAGTGACTTCAGTAAAGGTAAACTTCTGAACACTTGATTCGCTCAAACCCCATGAACTTCACGATTACAAAGTATCCATTTCAACTTTCATCGATACACAACATCTTCATGACCCTCTTTCCCCATCCAAAAATTCCAACAGCCCAGTATTTTGCTTACCGGGCGTTCAGCGCTATATTACAGGGCTTACCTCACAAAACAGCGGCGCGCAGCTCGCTAGTTGTACTTTTTGCCAGCCAACGAACCACCACTTGAACCACTACCATGGTCACATTTCTTTATTTACATCACAACGCCGATAATCAACAATTGTGTTTTGCTCTTTTCTTCACCATCACGCACGCGTATGATGAGATTCACAATGATGCAACTCAAAACCTACGCTACCTGGCAGAACGATGAGAGCCGGTCAAATATCTTAAAACCTAGGCTAATACCAAGTTTGTCGACGTTAAATAAAAGGAAACATTAAATATCAATGGTTCATTTGCAGTTAAAAGCCCGTATTCTTTTGGTCTACCTAGGACGCGGCTGCATAACTACGTTGAACGGTCAATTCCTAGCATCTCCTCAAAATCCCAACTGAACCAAAGTACCATCTCAAATAGAACAGTAACAAATATTGAAGACCTATTCGAGCTTAAATAGCATCAAAAGATAGACGATTCAAGAAACTCAATAATCCTAACAACATTCCTCGCCCCTTCTTCTCAACTTCAACTTCTCCAACATCCCATTGGCTCCCGTTCCCATTACCAAACCCGCCCCCAAACCGTCAGTTCATCATCCTCAACTCTTGGCATCTCATTCCGAGTCTCGAATGCGAGAGCGCGGCCCGCTACGCCGATCTGGTAAGGCGCACTCTCCCAACCCCTGTTGTCTCCTCGTAAAGACAGGCATAATACGCCCAAATCCCCTGCTAAACTAACGGGTTCCAGGCAGTTGGTTCGACGTTGTTAATTTCCCATATTTTTGATACATAAAACCAACGACCTGCACCGTCCTGCTCTTGCATTGCCACTACCACTCCTCGCATCATCATCTGTCATTCCTTCTTGTCGATCTTTTTGGTGTATTTCATTCTTTTATTTCCCACCCACAAACATTCCCCCAAATTCAACTACAGTTGCCCAACGCATATTATCAAAAACAACAAAAGACCAAAATCAAAATGTTCACCAAAAGCCTCCTCATCTCCGCCCTCGCCGGCGTCGCCCTCAGCAGCCCCGCCCCGGCCATCACTCCTGCGCCCATCTACCAGCGCCAACAACAATCCGACTCCTCCCTCACCCTCGAATGCCAAGCCCAGTACGAATCCATGATAGCCCGCGCCCCCAACCCCTCCAACGACTCCCCCGTCATCCAATGGCTCAACTCCGAGGACATCCTCCGCATCGTCGACTCCGAGGACGTCAACGGCCTGTGCTCCGCCATGTACGGCGACGGTGGCCTCAAGCCCCCCGCCTCCGTCGCGTCCGCCTGGTCCAGCTACATGTCCGAGGCAAACGACTACGCGAGCTCCATGGCCGAGCCGGCTTCTAGCTTGAAATCCAAGTGTCCCGCCACGATTGGCGCGGCCATCGCGCTGCTGGCTATTACCGACGAAAAATCGTGCAAGACGGCGTACGCGGCGTACTCGAATGTCCTTGATGGGACTACGGAGGGTGGCTCCAGCCCGACGACGATGACGGGTCCGGCGAGGACGACGACGTTGAGCCCTGTGCCGACGGTGACGACTGGCCCGAACCCCGAGGATGAGGATGAGGGGGGAAATGAGAATGAGAATGTGGAGGAGGGAGGAAATGCCCAGACGACTAGCACCTCTACGGCTGGCGGTGCTAGGGAGACGGGATTCGTTGTGGCTGCCGCTGCGGCGATGGCGGTGGCTGGTGGGATGGCTGCTCTCTAGAGAAAGTTAGTGTTTGTAAGATAAACGAGACGATGGTGGAATAATCGAGTCATACCTAATATCAGAGAATTACACAACACTCTTCCTCCTCCGCCGCAGGGGCTTCTGAGTCAACCTCAACTGGAGGACCCAACGCTGTAGTCGTCCGATAATACCTAGCCCATGATGGGCTTATCACCTCCATGCCGCCTTGCAAATCCCCATGCAAGGTTTCTGTCGGTAACTTGTATCACTGAGCCCGGTTCATCAACCCACAACTTGAAGGGGAATACGTATAATGCCGGGCGAGACATGAATGCAGCGACCAAGTCCAGGTCTAGCATCCTCAGGTGAGTGACGTCGGTCCACCAAGGCGCGGGATTCATCTTGACATCTTGACTTCGAAGTATCTAATCCCAGCATAGGGCGTATGCTTCGCCATAGTGTTAGCTCTCAGACTGTAGGACGTATGATGGTAGTAAAGCCATACCTCCCGGGTCTCAAATCGATGAACTTCCTCGCCCCTCTGCCGCATCTGGTTCCCATGAGGATGTATATATTCTGCGGTGGTGATGTCGGAAATAGGCCGCTTAATGTAGACAGGCAGAACAGAAAGCGTAGAACCACCTCCTTGTTCCTGGGATGCAATGACCAGCGTTCTGATAAAAGACCGCAGACTTGTGTCCGTCTTTTTGATTTTTTTTTTCGCTCCAAGTTCGAGATCGCCCATTGATGAAAATGATCAGTCTTCGGCCCACACTAACGTTTATATTCGCAGCGTATTTCTTCACTGTACATGAGACGGATTGCCCTTGGCGAATGCGAGCAATGAAACCCGGAGTGTACGGGACAGTTGTTGATGCGGTGTGATGATAGCCAGTCTGAGACGGGATATGAGGCAGAAAAGGTCGAGGCTGATTATAAGGAGCTTCGATTATGCCACTACCAGGCACTTCGTGCGTAGGGCGGCCGTAGGCGTCTCGAGCCGCAAAGAATGGGTCGTCATTCCTCGCCAAGTTGGCCTCGATATACGATTTAAGGTCTTCCGTATACCTTGCAAGTTGATCACTTCCTGTCGTTCTGGCCTCGGCCTCAGCGAGTAATCCTTGACGGACATTAGCAATCCGTTTTAGTATCGAAGCTACGCAGTCCGGGTCACTCTCAAGGTTTTGTCTGAAGGTGGATGATGGGTCTTGGAGGGCTTCGTGGCGACCCATCTCCAACCGATTGCTGTGCCTGCTATTGTTAACTAACGCCGTAGGTTGTGATCCAAAGTGTGCGTTAACTCACAACTGACACATGGCAGCTAGTGTCCAGTGTGATACGATGATAACGCAGCTTGTTCTGTAAGTTAGACATTGTGTCTCTGCCTGAGACGGGCCACGATATGTCGAGGCCGTGAATGTCGGTTTTGTGCAACGTCACACAGTCCTTCATTTCTGACAAGATTGACTGGCAGTTGGCCAAGATGTCCTGGACCTGCTGACTGACCGGTTCTTCCCCTGCAGATATAAAATTGGGAAAAAGATATGTCGATTTCTTCCGAGGGCATTGCGTTCTTCTGTGACTTCTAATGCCAACTTGGCCAAGAGAGGATAAAGCTTTTCAAGAATGTGACGGTCACCTAGGCTTGGGGACGTTGACAGTCAGGGACAGATCG